TGGCGTGTAAGTGGGCACTTTGACCCTGCGTAGGATTGCTGAGAGAGCTGAGAGAAGGTGTTAATGTAGAGCCATTTGATTGGAGGTCTGTGTGCAAAAACCCGGTCCCTTAACGACCTCGATCAGACCCTTTAATCGTCAAGCAAAAATGCAAGAACGTTTTTAAGTTTTCCTCAAGTCAGAGAATTTTGACCAATAATCCATCAGGAAGGTTACGGGCAAAAATGTCTGAAATGTTACACTGATACTCTCGCCGCCACCGCCGCCGCCCCCCCAGCACAGCTCGTTAGCTTGTTGTAAAAAGTGGAGATTTAATTGATTTATTTAGATAGTGGTGCAGCAATAATACACAAAACATGATTGACAAGTTGACCTTTGACCTGGGTCAACACCTGAGAAAAGAGTGTTGTGATTTGAGTCAATACAAAGCACCAGTTTGTCCACCTTCAAAATAAAAGCACCATACTTCAGCTCGGTGCTCAAAATAAAAGCATCACGCTTAAGTTTGTCCGCTTTCAAAATAAAAGCACCATGCGTCAGTTTGTCCACCTTCAAAATAAAAGCACCACACTTCAGTTTGACCACCTTCAAAATAAAAGCACCACACTTCAGTTTGTCCACCTTCAAAATTAAAGCACCACACTTCAGTTTGTCCACCTTCAAAATAAAAGCACCACACTTCAGTTTGTCCACCTTCAAAATAAAAGCACCACACTTCAGTTTGTCCACCTTCAAAATAAAAGCGCCACACTTCAGTTTGTCCACCTTCAAAATGAAAGCGCCACACTTCAGTTTGTCCTCCTTCAAAATAAAAGCGCCACACTTCAGTTTGTCCACCTTCAAAATAAAAAGCATCAGACTTCAGTTTGTCCCCCTTCAAAATAAAAGCACCATACTTCAGTTTGTCCACCTTCAAAATATGTAAGATGAGTCCTGATTTTCATATCTTGTAGTGTGAGCATGTTTGAGATTAAGGAGAAGATCTGTTAACATTCTCCTCGTGTGTGGGATGCTGCCTGTGTGTGTGTGTGTGTGTGTGTGTGTGTGTGTGCGCGTGTGTGCGTGTGTGTGCGCGTGTGTGCGTGTGCTGTCCCACAGTCAGATCCATCAAGTGTGTGAGGGCTCTGATGCATACTTTGAAACGCCAAATAACGCACTTTCCATGAGTCTCCATTCCTGCAGACGTTCCTGTAAGACTTACTCAGAGTTTCCAACCGAGTTCATTTGTAGGTGACACCATGAAGGTGTTTACTGCTGTGGATATTCAAAGCACACCTGAAGGATTTTTTTTCTGTTTTCCAGATAAAAATGAAAACTCTTGTTGTATTTATGACTTCTGATCATTTGCTGAAATAATTAACACTAATATAAGATACAAATGACAGAGCTACAAAGACCCAAACGTCTGGAAAATTAAAGTTTTCTGCACAAGATATTTGCTGACAGTGCTGTGAGAAGCCAAAGACCCATGTCGACTCACAAAGGTTCTGTAATATTACCCTATTAACTGAACAGACAACACTTACTGGATTACCCATCATGGTGTAAGATTTTCCTGAGCCTGTTTGGCCGTAGGCAAACACACAAGCATTGAAGCCCTCAAAGCATTCAGGAGATTTCACCCTAAGGCACCAAAATTTGAGAGCAGAAGAGGAAAACGTGTCTGGTAAAAAAAAAGTATAATTTTCAACCAAAATTAAGAAAGACTGGGCAGATGTGGAGAGATACCTTCTCCTGTGATGCAAAGTGGGGCTTCTTCTGTCCGATTAATCGTTTGAGAAGTCCAAAGAAAAAGACTTCCATGTGTCCTTCTGATCGTGGCCTTGAGTAGTTGAAGGCAGTGTGAAAAGACAAACATATCCTTATTTTATCGAGAGTTACATTTGCAGCATAAACACAAAACAGACATAAAGAACAGACATACGACGACACTGTGAGTGAAAACCCCCGAGTTCAAATAAAGTCTGGACGTTGAGTAAAAGGTTAGGAAAAAATATTGTGATGATTTACAAATTGTTGAACCCCAAGAGGTTAACCAGCAACCGGCTAGTACCACGATTAGGTGTAAAAAGAGCAAACAAGAGAGGCTGAGTCTATCTGAAGTGAGGATGAGGAGGGGTTCACCTCTCTGTGTGGAAGAGTGCTGGTACAGGACGCTGGTTTGGCGCACCCTGTGCATAGAGGCTCCAGTCCTCAAAGCACTGGTTGCAGGTTTATCTCTGTGACCACTGCTGTAAACGTGTTTACTTCTGCTGTAAAAACTGTCTTTTTATAAAGGGTGTGTATGTGACTTCCTGTGCTTCTCCAGACAGCCTCAAGCGGACACTGGACGAACTGCAGGACTCTTGGCTTCTTATAATGATTCTGGGATCTTATGATGGTTCTTATGATGGTTCTAATGATGGTTCTTATAATGGTTCTTATGATGGTTCTTATGATGGTTCTAATGATGGTTCTTATGATGGTTCTAATGATGGTTCTTGTGATGGTTCTTATGATGGTTCTTGTGATGGTTCTTGTGATGGTTCTTGTAATGGTTCTTGTGATGGTTCCTGTGATGGTTCCTGTGATGGTTCTTGTGATGGTTCTTGTGATGGTTCTTATGATGGTTCTTATGATGGTTCTTATAATGGTTCTTATAATGGTTCTTATGATGGTTCTTATGATGGTTCTTATGATGGTTCTAATGATGGTTCTTATGATGGTTCTAGTGATGGTTCTTGTGATGGTTCTTGTGATGGTTCTTGTGATGGTTCTTGTAATGGTTCTTGTGATGGTTCCTGTGATGGTTCCTGTGATGGTTCTTGTGATGGTTCTTGTGATGGTTCTTATGATGGTTCTTATGATGGTTCTTATAATGGTTCTTATAATGGTTCTTATGATGGTTCTTATGATGGTTCTTATGATGGTTCTAATGATGGTTCTTATGATGGTTCTAGTGATGGTTCTTGTGATGGTTCTTATGATGGTTCTTGTGATGGTTCTTGTGATGGTTCTTGTAATGGTTCTTGTGATGGTTCCTGTGATGGTTCCTGTGATGGTTCTTGTGATGGTTCTTATGATGGTTCTTATGATGGTTCTTATGATGGTTCTTATGATGGTTCTTATAATGGTTCTTATGATGGTTCCTGTGATGGTTCCTGTGATGGTTCTTGTGATGGTTCTTGTGATGGTTCTTGTGATGGTTCTTGTGATGGTTCTTATAATGGTTCTTGTGATGGTTCTTATGATGGTTCTTATAATGGTTCTTATGATGGTTCTTGGATGGTTCTTGTGATGGTTCTTATAATGGTTCTTATGATGGTTCTTGTGATGGTTCTTGTGATGGTTCTTGTGTTTCCTGGGTTCTTATGATGGTTCTTGTGATGGTTCTTATGATGGTTCTTGTGATGGTTCTTGTGATGGTTCTTATAATGGTTAATGTGATGGTTCTTGTGATGGTTCTTATGATGGTTCCTGTGATGGTTCCTGTGATGGTTCTTGTGATGGTTCTTGTGATGGTTCTTATGATGGTTCTTATGATGGTTCTTATAATGGTTCTTATGATGGTTCTTGTGATGGTTCTTGTGATGGTTCTTGTGATGGTTCTTGTGATGGTTCTTATGATGGTTCTTATGATGGTTCTTGTGATGGTTCTTGTGATGGTTCTTGTGATGGTTCTTATAATGGTTCTTGTGATGGTTCTTGTGATGGTTCTTATAATGGTTCTTGTGATGGTTCTTGTGATGGTTCTTGTGATGGTTCCTGTGATGGTTCCTGTGATGGTTCTTGTGATGGTTCTTGTGATGGTTCTTGTGATGGTCGGGTTATATATGTCTGTTGGGTATCGTGCACTATGGGTATTTAGTATTTGTTATGTTCTTGTTGTTGTTTATGTTCTTCTGTGTTTGGTTTAGTTTGTTCTTGTTTTTGCTGTTTGTCAAAGCACTTTGTAAACCTGTGTTTTTAAAAGGTGCTATATCAATAAAGTTATTATTATTATATATTATTTTTGAACACCAGAGGTTACTGCTTCAGTTACACCACATGTGCTTATTTATTATTTTCAACTACAGGCTACACATGGGGTTAAAGGTCCAAACTTACTTCAATTTGGGGCTGACTATTAAAAATATCTATAAAATATAAAATATAAAAGAGCTAACATTTCAAATTGCATGCATAAACAAAATGATTTTAGTACATTTAAGTTTTTGAGTAATTATACCTTATAAATAGATGTAGTGTCATATGAACAATCACTGCTTTTCTCTGTGGGGGAAATATGAGTGACAGGAGGTGTTTTTTAGCACATTTGGAGCCGTTTACAACAGGTATTTATTTTACCTACCTACCTGGAGGGACTCGGACAGAAGCTATGAGTAATCTAAACTAATGTAGCAGCGGATCCTGCACACTGTGCTCTCCTGTTTACAAGACACCTGGCTGCTGCCTATTTCCCACCTCATCAGGACACCTGAGGCCTGTCATGTCCGCGTCGTCTCCATGCAGTACACCGAATAGCCACTAGGGTGTTTACCGGATCGATCATTCACTAAAAAACAAAACTTTAAACATCCACTGATTAAATACACGTCTATTAAACACACATTACACAATAAATTAAATGCAAATCGGCAACATGGATTTAAGTGATTAATATCTTCGAATTAAATTGAAATTAATCCAAATCATTAGTTTGGATCATAGACTGTAAATATTACAGGATTTGGATAATTTGGATATCAGTCAAACGTTGCATTTAAAGAACGCCGGAGGACAAACAATAACTCAAGAGCGTCAACACACAATAAGTAAAGTCAATTTTCACTCTTGAACTGATTATTAAACGTCAAAAAAGGCAAATAAAAAAACTGAGATTTGATTCCCACACGATTCTTTGCTTTTTAGATGTTTATGTCTGAAAATAACAGCCGGATGACCCTAGTTTTAAAGGTTGAAAATCGTATTTCCTACTTTCCTGAAGAATATGAACGCGGCTATATGGCGAGCCACGTCTCCCATAATGCAGTGCGGCGGCACGGACCCGGCGGGGACATTCAAAAAAAACTATGGCGGACGACTCGGCGATCTTTAAAACTATTTCAAACTCAGAAAAAGCGGAAAAAAAGTATTTAAATAATGACGAAGATGGTAAAACGAGGAGGCGCCTTTCATTCTCATCGGAAAATAACGTCAGCCAACAAGAGGACCCGGATGTTTCACGTAAAATCTTAACGTTACAAAATGTTCCCGACGAGTCGAAGTCGGGCGGCCGACTCCCTCCGGAAATGTCCGAACAGCTCTCACTGCAGGCCTCATGTTTACAGGCGAAAAATACAGAAGAATTAAACGAAGTTTCCAAAGAAAATCATCTTAATTTACAACAGAGTGGTGTGAACGTCACTGAAGACAAGGAAAACACAGCTATGCTAACAACAACCAGCACTACAGGTAGGAAACACACAGGTTTCCCCATTACAAGCCTTATTTTCAGCTTGAAGTAAGACATTATTCTGGTGAATTTTGCTCAAATAAAGTGTGTAAAGAAGATTCTGACTAGGTGTTAGATCATCACACTTGCTCAGATTCGAGTTCTTTGGAATGCATTATCTTAAATACTTCACTAACATCCTGTTTAGGGTCTTAAAGGTTTAGTTTACACCACAAATACATTAGTTAACATCTATGCTGAACATGACATTAATACTTTGGGGTCTTTGCATAAATTTGTGATATTGCCTTGCACAAAAATACAATACTTATATGCTGTATTGATGGTTTCCCCCCTTTCCCTTGTGATTTCACATTAACATGTATTGTGAAAATGGTAATAACCTGATGCAGTAATCTGAAGACTTGATTACTTTTGTTTTGATGTATGTTTTTCTCATGACACTTAAGTATTTCTGAATGCAGGTCTTTTTCTGATGACCGAGTAAAGCCTACTTTTGCTAAAATGAGTAGAGTAATTCTTTCACCACAGCCAGACACAGGATATATTTAAGTGTAGAGAGAGAATGGGAACAACAGCTTCATTAAAACTCTGTCCTGGGTGGATTTCATTAACTTTTAACCAGCTGAAATTGAGCACACCCGTCGTATTCCTCAATCTAATTGAATCACTGTGCTCTCTCATTCGGACAGACGACACCACAGAGGAGGGCGCTTCTGGTCAGAGAGGTCTGCAGCAGGATTCCAGCGGGACTGACGGGAAACAACACAGCGACACAGAGGACAGCGATGCCGAGGTGGTGAGGAGAGCGCAGGAGGAAGGCCACGTGAACGTCGTCTTCCCCGGCCCCGTGAGTCAGGACGGCTGCTGCCGATTTGTCAGCGAGATCCTCAAGTGCATCCTGTACCAGAGACAGCAGCTACCCATGACGTACGACCAGCTGGTGTACTCTCAGAAGAAGCTGCAAGCGTCGATGCAGGTGAGAACGAAGAGCGGTGTGGTGCACCGTCATCAAATTAAAAATAGGCAGTCTACACCGGGTAATAAAAAGCATCCTGCGGCGTCCCGTTTGCTCCAGTGACCTCATTGATCAGATCTCATTTACCCCTGAAAGTGCAAATAAACAAATGACAAATGGGGCTCTGGTGGCGCAGTGGTTGGAGCACGGCCCCGTGTGTGGAGGCTGTTGTCCTCCAAGCGGGCAGCCCAGGTTCAAATCCGACCTGTGGCTCCTTTCCTGCATGTCATTCCCTACTCTCTCTCTCTCCCTGATTTCTGACTCTATCCTCTGTCCTATCTCTCTAATAAAGGCACAAATACAAATCTTAAAAAAAATAAAAATACTGATGAAAAACTGATTTTAGACTGCCGGCAGACTCGCCTGTTTCCCTCCTCTGTCCGATTCAAGATGTCGAATGGGCCCAAAAAAGGTCAAGGTGAACAAGTACAAAACAAAAATGTGTACATGGACATGACAATTAAAGCAACGGCAAATAAACGAAAACAGAAATAAACAAAACAAAATCAAAATACGCAAAACATTAGCAAAGACAAATACAATTAAAGTAGATAAAATAAAAGTCAAGTAGTAAGTTGAGGTAATGTATAAGAAAAGTGTGAATGTGTGTGTGTGGCAGTGTAATGCATTAAAGTGAGTGGCTGAGTGGGAAGGAAAATAAACAGAAACAAAATTGAAGATAGTTGAGAGGAAAAGAAAAAAAAAGATATATATTTCAACATTAATGGAAAGAAGACATTTTTACATACATTTCTATATATAAATAAAATGTTTGGTGTTGTTGATTTCTTCAAACAAAAAGCTTCGTCTTTTTTTCCAGGATAAAGACATAGTGAGCCGCAGGCCGGCGCCGTCTGCAGACGTGGACTTGCGAAAGTGTCAGCAGACCCTTCAGGATCTGGAGGAGGTGCTGCAGCAGCTGGAGGTGCTCTTCTCCCTCAGCAGGGTGCCTCGGGTGCTGCTGCTCCTGGGCGGCTCCCTCGTCCTCCCCAAAGAGCTGTACGAGATCAACCTGGAGAATCTGGAAGTGGCCGGCGGGGATCAGTGTCTGCGCGTCTCCTCCTGCTTACGGCAACTCTTCAGGACTCTGTTCGTGGCCGACCTTTTGTCTGACAGCAAACCGGTCCGCTTAATGCCCACCACGGTCTTAGTGCTGGCTCACAGGGACTGCGGTGTGGGGTGGTTCCGCCCTAAACTACAATTTAAAGTGCCGACACGTGTGAAAAACCAAACGATTGTTCTCTCTAGCGATCCCAACACCTGTAAGAATCCGAGGGCCGAGGAGTCGGACGGGCAGGATTACATTTGGTTTCAGGCACCAATGACGATTAAAGGCTTTGGGAAGTGACCGGGGCGCTCTTTCTGGAGCGTGTGATACTTTGCAGTTTAACAGTCGTTGAAATGGGTGTTGAATGATTGTTTGTCAATATTTTTATGAATTATGAATTTAAATTTTTACTTGAAATTAAAAAGTGTCATCAAAAACAACAGTGTTTACAAGGTGACTTAACATTTTTTTAATATTAAAAAAAGCTTTGTTGTCATGGAATTAAATCTGTTTGCGAACAGGATGTTTTAATGTTTATATTTATTAAGAATGTTGTTTTGCATAAAACACAGAAATGTTAGGAACCTCACACACCGAGCAACACACATCAGACTGATGCAAAAACTTTTTTTCATCATCAAAACTTCAACAAAAGATTTTCTTTAATTCAAACTTCATTCACATTCAAAGGCCGGTGTTATGTTGAGAAATGCATCCCTGCCAAGAGATGCATGCACCTCGTGGAAGTGCTTGAAAATGGTCTAAATTTGTTTCAGGGGGCAGATCTGTGATTTCCTCAATGCTCTGCAGACTAACTAAAGATGACCTGCAATCAGTGTTTGACTCTGAAGTGCCTTTAGAGGAAATTTAAGGGAGGATGCAAAATACAGCCGTGTAGAAATTGTGTGCTGATAGCCTAGCGGAGGCTAAAGTCCTCATCCCAGAAGCCTTGCGATCTAATCTGACTCTTTGCTGCATGTCATCCCCCAACATCTCCTGTCTCACTTCAGCTGTCCAATAAAGGCAAAAGATAACGTGAAAAGAAAAGATGTCTGTCCCATTTGGCATTGTCCTGCGAGGTGCATGCAGTTCTCATCATAACACCGGTGCCATCTGGATTTGTTTGCATTTATTGAAAACCTACAAAAAGATTTTAGTAGAGCAGATTTTTAGTGGTGCAGTTTTGGATGCAGCCGATGCATTGTAGTGTTGAAACAATTACAGATGTGTGGATTGTGCAGCTGTGTCACATTAGGAGTGATCAGAACAATAAAGGACAGATGAACCATCATTAAACGGTTCTATCAGCGTAGCATTAGTTTCAGAACTTTTCCACTTTCCTGACAAACTGGACGATGTCGTCGGCCAGCAGCCGCGGCTCCTCAAAGGCAGCGAAGTGACCTCCTCGAGGCATGAAGGTGTACGAGTAGATGTTTCTATATCGTATCTCCGCCCACGATTTAGGGCAGTGCATCAGCTCCGCGGGGAAGGCAGCGAGTCCAGTGGGGACAAAAATCCCCGTCCTACAACAAAAGATGACATTTAGACAGAGTTTCATCATAAAAGGCTTTTCTGTCAGGAATTTCCAAGATGCCAATTCCTTCTGGAAGAAATCTTGGAATCAGTTGAGGAAACGGCTTTATCTGTAGGAGTAAATTATGTCTGTAAACCTGACCTTAGTGGGAGTGCTGTGCATTCTGGGATTTGGTGTCTTTCATCCACATGAGCCAAAAAGACACTTTCTGCCTTTTCACGGCCAAGAAGGCACCAACTTCAACAATGTCAACACAGATTCATGTTTCAACGGGTGAAGTATCCCTTTAAGTCTACACAGAGTCGATGCAGGATTTTTGAAACCAAATGTTAGACCCACACAGACACATTCATGTTTGTTTTGCACCAGATTTCATGTCTGACTCGACGGCTTGGACTCCCAATTTAAAAAAATGTTTGCATATTTTGCAAGTTGCCTCATAATTGTTGCTTTCCCTGACAACCAATCTCTGTATGTGTCATCTTAACGCTTTTCAAAACACTCACATTCAGACCGAACAAGCTGAAGGAAACAAAAAGATTTAAACAATGTCACAAAAAGCAACATTCATCTGAAAAGGAGGGTTAGGGGGTTTAGGGTTCTGATCAGGGATTTGAATCTGGCAGGTCGGTACAGGCTCTGATGTGTTTGGTGAGGGAGTTCTAGAAGGTGGGGGGACCCAATGGACACTCTGACACCCTGCAAGTTTGGTGCTTTGACCCCGAGTCATGGAGGGAGGTAGTTGGCTTCAGAGGAAATGAGAAGAAGTGTGGGGGTGGAGGAGATCAGTGAGGTAGGAGGGGGCTGATTGCTGAGGTACAGAGAAGGACTTTAAACTGGATTCTTTGGGGGAACTTGGAGCCAGTGGAGGTTCTGGAGGACAGGGGTGATGTAGCTGCAGGAGTTTGTGAGTTATTGAGGACTTTGGGTGATGAACCATATCGAAGGCTGTCACAGGAGTCAGTTCTGGATGTGACGAATGTGTGGATCAGTGTTTGGGCAGCAGAGAAGGAGAGTGATGGGCGGAGACGTGCTCTGTTTTTGAGATGGAAGAAGGCAGCTCTGGTGATATTACTGACATGAGAGGTTGTGATCAAAAATTACTCCAAGGTTTAAAATGTGTGAAGATGATACAGGGTGGAGTGGTGAGAGATTCTTTGGACCGATGGTTATCACATCTGATTTGTCACAGTTTAGTCGACACTTTAGTGGAAGTGTAGGATTAATAACACCTTCACAGGTCAAAGGCTCATCTAAAGTTTAAGACCTCTCAGAAGTAAAAATACGACATTTTATGATCTTGAGATTTAAAAAGTCTGATTGAAGGTCTTCAAAGGAACCCGGTTACAAAACAACTGTCAGGGTTAAGACAGTTTGAGCCACATTTTCCACAACATTTGCATCGGGGAAATTGTCAAAACAAATTTTTTAGATTTATTTTTGGGGGCTTTAGAGTAGGGAATGGGGGGAGAGAGAGAGAGAGAGAAGAGACAGACAGAGAGAGACAGACATAGAGAGACAGACAGAGAGAGAGAGAGAGAGAGGG